TGTTTATAATAGCTTTATTCGTAATTGCCCCAAACTGGAAGGCACTGAGATGTCCTTCAGTAGGTGAATGAATAAATGAACTGTGGTCCATTCAGACAATAGACTATTACTCACTAATAAACAGAACTGAGCTCCCAAGTCATGAAAAGACATGGAGGATTCTTAAGTGCACATTGCTAAGTGAAAGAAGACAGTCTGGAAGGCTTCATACATACTGCATGATTCCAACTATGGGTCATTCTGGGAAAGACAAAACTAAAAAGGAAGGAGGTAAAGAAGGACAAAGGGAGAAATGGAGAGGTGGAGCACAGAGGACTTCTCAGGGCAGCGAGTATATTGCTTAACACTGTAATGCCACAATGAATGACATTTTGCACTTGGTGAAATCCATAGAATGTCAAACCTTAGTGTGAACCATGATAGCCCATAACAATGTATCGAGACTGATTCATCAACTGTAACAAAATGAAAAGCAACAAAGCAAGACATCAACAATAGAGAAAAAGGAGAAGGGGAGAAAGTATGTAGGAACCCTTTGAACTGTTCGATGTTCCTGTTTAACTAATAAAACTGCTCTAAAAACAAAGGCCTATTAATGTCTTAAAAGGCTAATGCATTACTATACTAACTCACCAAAAAAAGTATGTTAAAACCTTACTTTATTCAAAAAAAAAAAAAAAAAGTCAATGTCAGGAAAAACAGGAAGACAAGGAGATCCATCTGCGCTCAAGGAGCTCATGCAGGCCTGGGGAATGGGGGCAGCACAGGAATCTTGCAGATCTGGACACGGAACAGAATGGCAAATAAAGAAGCTTGTGATGCATGCTTGTGAGACAATTGGGGAAATATGAAGATGGACTCTACATTAAGTGATATTATGGAATCGATGTTAAGTTGCTTGAGCAATTTAATGGTATTGTATTTAGGTAGAAAAATATTCTCCTTCCCAGTGTCCAGAGGTTTGCATCTTTCAAGTGGTTCAGAGAGCAACACTCCCCCATAGAGATATGTACAGCAAATGTGGCAGGGGCACCTGCTGAGCACAGGTAAAAAGTATAAAGGTATTCATTCTACCACTTCTCTACCTTCTGAAGGGCCACAAACGTCACAATTGGTACCTTGACAAGACCAACAAAATGCAGATAAACTCCTTGTAAGAATAATCAACAAGAACAGACAGAGGCATGGACATTCACACCAAGGGTGACAAATGGAACCAACCTCCTGGGGTGACAAATGGAACCAACCTCCGGGCACTGACAAGGTAACAGGGGATATTATGAGCAACAATGAAAGTTCAGTTGAAATGGACAAATTCCTGGCTTTAGAAGAAATAGAAGCACTTTTAAGGCTCCTTAGCCACGGAAGAACCTAGATCAGCAATCACAGATATCTAAATGAAAAAAGGCAGCAGTTCCACCAACAGAAACGAAACCTCAAGTCTTACAAAAACCACTCCGGTGACTATGACAAGAGGCACATTCCCAATTTATTTTTTCTAAGGCCACAGAATAACAATTACTCAGGCCGGGCAAAGACAGCAAGGGAAAGAAAAATCCCAGGCAAATTTAAAACACTAAACAAAATACCAGCAAGCTAAATTAAACCATATATAAAACATAATTCAGATTGACAAATAGGTTATCCCAAGAATGGGCAGTATATGCAATGTTAGAAAATCACATAGTAGCAAAGTTAGAAAATCACACAGTATCACTGAACACGTTATTAGCTTAAGGGAGGAAAATCATATGACCATCTTAACAGACACACACAAAAGTAATGACCAGAAAAACCAGCATCGATTCATACTTAAAAAAAAATCAAAGTAGGAATAGACATTTCTTAATCCGATAAAGGGCTTTTTCCCCCCACAAAAAAGCACACAGCATACATCACACACAGGAACAGAGACAGCATTCCCCCGAAATGACAAAGGAGACAACGGACCCAGTCACCACTTCAGTTTCCTGTAGATGTGAGCTAGCCAGCAAGGGAAACAAGGGCAATAAACAAAAGTCACAAGCTAGAAAGGAAGAAATAAAATTGTCACTGTTTGCAGATGACATCAGACTCTATTAGGAAAACCAAGGAATAAATATTGACAAATTATTATCGTCAATAAAAGAGGTTGGCAAGATTGGTGGACATAATATACTAGCACAAAATCAACTGCTTTTCTATACCTCAACGTGAAATATATAGATATATACAAAGGAAATTATAAACTGTATTGATAGGACTTAAAAATTAATAGGACGTAAAAAAGCAAGGTTTGGAAGACTCAGTATTAGAACAATGTTTACTCTTCCCCAATAATTTACGGATATAACACATTTCCAAGAGGTACTCTCCTGTAACTGGGCACATGGACTGAATATTTTCAAAGACATCAAAGGGCCAAGAATAGCCAAAATACCATCAACCAGAACAAAGAGGGAGCCTGACTTCCCAAACACCAACAAGCACTGAAAACCTGGACTCGCCCAGCAGGATACTTGGCATGGAGCAGATAGCTCACACACTCACACACACCCACAAAACAGGGAAGCCTGATTTAGTTCAAAGCTGCCACTAAATGGCAATGGAACAGCAGGTACTCACTTGCAAAAATAAACGTGGACCTGCCTCACTATATATATAAAATTCCTATACTTTTAGGAGAACATACAGATATAGAAAGTCTTCTTAAATAAGATACAAAAAACTGTCCCATGTAGGAGAGAAAAACAAATGTAACCACTTCGAAATGAACTCCTGGGCCAAGGCACAGTGGCTCTGGTTTGTAATCCTAGCTACTTGGGAGGCAGAGATTGGGAGAATCACCGTCTGAGAACAACCTGGGCAAAAAAGTTCACAAAATTCTATCTCAACAATGAATGGTTGGGCTGGCAGAGGGGCTCAAGCAGTAGAGAAACTGCCTAGCAAACATAAGGCCAAGTTCAAACCCAACAATGAATGGTTGGGCTGGCAGAGGGGCTCAAGCAGTAGAGAAACTGCCTAGCAAACATAAGGCCAAGTTCAAACCCAATACCACAAAAAAAAAAAAAAAAAAAAAAAAAAAAAGGATTTTCTGGGTGCAGTGCATGTGCCTGTCATTGCAACCATGTGCAGTAAGCGTAAACAGCAGGATCAAGCAGGATCATGGTTCAGGCCGTTCTAGGCATAAAGCGAGACCCTATCGCAAAAATAACCAACAGAAAAGGAGTTGGCAGGGTGACTCAAGTGGTAGAGCACCTAACTTGCAAGTGTGAGGCCCATGGTTCAACCCCTTCAGAACTGAAGAAGAAAAAAAAAGCTCCTACCCATCAAGGGACATCATAAAGAGAATGGAAAAAAAACAAGTCATAAACTCAGAGAAGACAGTTACAATTGATAGAAATGAGGAAGACTCCTGTCAGATATAAAGAATTCCCTCACACAAGTAAGAGACAGGCAAACAATGCAAGAAGAGGAGACCAGGTACTTGCAGGAGAGGAAAGCTACAGGGCCAGCACATAGACCAACCACTGCTTTCCTTTAAAAGGTACGGGGGAAATTCAAATTGCAACACACCCTCTCAATTGGTACAAATAAAACAAATGCTGGGGGTCCCTAGTGTTGGTGAGGAAGGTAGAAATGAAACATTAATACTGTTTAACGTGGGACAAAGACTGGCCCCACCGGACTTTGCCCTGCACAGAGGCACTGACAGAGCACAAGCAGTGAACAGCATGAGATACAAGCCGTGAAGTGAGGAAGACACCCGGTGCAGACTACAGAGGGTGAGTCTTCACAACAGAAGGCTTAGCGAGAAAAGAAAAGCAGAAGACCACCGGAAAGGAGGGTCCCAATCCACCAACAGGAGATGCCCTGACCCCATGTCTGCACCTGCAGGATGGTCCCAATCCATCAACAGAAAACCACCCTGGACTCGCCATGTCTGCAGATCTAAACAGGTGCAGGGATCCACAAAGATGGGTATGCCAAGGAGAGGGGGATTAAAAGGTGTGAAACCAAGGAGGGCACACAGGAACTCAGGAGTCTCCTTTCCCAAACTGGCTGGTGAGTGACCAGCGGTTGACTATGCTAGATATAAATTCTACATCTATCATAATTACAGTTTTGAATTTATTCAATATTTAAAAAAATAAATAAAGTTGGTACCAACACACAAAGGGAGAAATGGCAGTGCCCCTGTGGGATAAGCTCTGTGAGAACCCTCAGGTTCCTCAGTTGGCTGCATCCTCTAGGAAAAGGTTCTGAAACCTTCCTCTAGGGCTCTCAGTTGTATTAACTGTCCTCTGTGCCAAGTACTAGAAAACAGGACAGTGGACACTTGTGGAGCACTCACTATGTAAGAAACAGAGTGTCATGCCTCTTTTAATCTTCATGAGGAATCAGGGTCAGGAAGGCTCATCAATGTCCATGCCCCAAAGCCCGTATCACAACTGAGATCTGAACTTGAGTGAACAGGACCAGCTGTTCAGCCCTGGGTGACAAAAGGGGTGCCCCTATCCCTCAACTCTATCTGGTATCTGGCTTGAAGAACTGCAAAATGCAGGTAGTTCTGAGCTGGGAAACAGAAGAGCTGCGGTGGCACCTGCAGGGCAGTTGGGCATTTGCTCTACAGAATGTTCACTTTTATTTTCTAAGAAAAATCACTGATTCTCAAAAGAAAACTAAGACACCTTGCAAATTTTCAGAGTAGAAGGCAGGTCTCCTCTGCTACTAAGGACACATCACCCACACGTGTTACATTTCTTTCCATCAGTGTGTCCTCTAACAGAAACAGCTTCTGTGTCCCATTATCCTTCAGCTTTTACTACCAAAGCAAAAGTGAGTCCAGAACTTCCCACAAGGTCACTGGCCCATCAACCCAGTGCATCTTATTGCTCTGTGGATCTGAACAGACAAAAAACATCCATGCTCCAGCAGAAGCTATGGGTGAGCCAGGCCTTGGCCAACACACAAACTGATTGGCCTCTGACAGGAGAGCAGGATGCTGAGGGCAGGCCCACCTTGTTGAAGACCCAGACCTCGCCATTCACGGTAGGCCTGGGCACCCCATGGCCATTGTAGTGGAAGAGGACCCGCTCCTCCTTGGCGTTCCGGCGCAGCGATGTGCAGAGCTTCTTGACTTCATCCACGGTGGGGTCAAGGCTCTGCTTGTACCGGGCCTGGGGCAGGAAAAGAAAGAGACCTTGTTACAGATTTGAACAGCTAGAAGGTGTCCTCCTCCTGCACTTCAAGTCTGCATCTAGCATAAGCGCCATGCCTCCACATCTAGGAAAGTGGACACTGCTATCTTACAGGGCAGGGACAAGAGTCCACTTGCTCACCCAGCACATTATCACTGAGAACAACAAAGGACATAAATAAATAGAGCCTGTCACGTAGCAACACAGGCAGTGCTGTCATATCCAGTGTTTCTCAGAAGCAGGGAAACCCTTCTGAAAATGTTTCTGGAACACAGAGCAGAGATAACGTACTCAAACGAGGACCTGCAGCACAAAGCAGCAATGGCAGAGAATTAAAAAGAAGGCACAGGGGGCAGCAAAGCGCCCATTACACAGTCCCATTCAAAGGGACTTTTTTTGAGACCCATTTGAGTCCTATTCAGGGCTCAAAGCCCTGAACAACTGACCCTGCCTGGACCCTTGCTGCCCTCCTTGGGATTAGCAGGAGCTGAAATTAATACACACACACACACAAAAAAAAAACCACAGGAGTTTTTATATACACAAACAATAAACAGAAGACTGCTGGTAAAGAAAGCCTCACTAATAAAGTAACAAAGAAGATTAAACACGTAAACGTAAGTTTAAGAAGAAATGTGCAAAGTGTAATTGTGGGCACCTGTCAACACTCCCAGAAAAAAGTAAGAGATCTGAACAAACATCCAGACTTGGTAGGACGCTACACACTCTGAAGATGTCAGCTCTCCCCAGAGTCCTTCTCACATTCAAGGAAGTCCCAATAAATATCCTGATGAGCTATTTGATGGAATTAGATGAACTGCTACTGAAACTTACATGGAAAAAAAGACATACAAAAAAAGGCAGGAAAACACAGAAAAAGAAAAGGCCATGGTGGCACGGAGCCTCCCCAGACATCCCAACCACCAGGGTCACTAGTTAGGATGGTGAAGCAGGGGCATGAGACCATAGACCAGGAAACTGGGCCAGAGTCCAGAATTAGAGCCACACATTACACTGGGCTTCTCATAAGCAGCACTTATACAATGTCCTGAAAACTGGTTTTATTAAAACTTGTAGAATTCACAAGTACTCTGAGTCAGGAGGGCAGGCCAGCACAGAGCCAAGTCTGCCCATGCTGCAAAGATGTGAAAGCCAATGATGGCGACCAAGGTCTCTCTGCTTCATATTCACTTATCCGTCTTGGTTATTAAGAACTTTGAAGGTAAATTCCCAATAAGGAGCTGAAGGAGCCAATCTATAAGCCCTCTAGATGGTGAATGAAAGTGATATGTATAAAGGGACTGGGCCACACCAGGAAATCATTGCAAATGCCTCAAACTCATCTGTCAACACCAGGTAGCAAAACACGTTCTTCAGAACTATGGCCAGAAAATACCCTGAAGAGGACTTGCCTGCAGGTGGGCACTGTGCTCTGATTTTAAAAGTAATGTGCATGTTTCCTGTGTTTCCTGCCTTGAAAAATTGTTTAAACTTTATTTAAACAACAACAAAAAAGACATAAAACAACCAGGCCTGATTACAAACAGCTGTAATCCCAACACGCAAAAGACTGAGGCAGGAGGGCTACATAGAGAGGCACTGTCCTATAATAATAAACAAACAAACAAATAAATGTATGTACAGAAACATATGTGTGAGTATGCATATACATGCATGCATGTGCACAGTGCAAATGAATAAATAAAATGGGCTCATGACTTGACATGGTTTAAGGAAAGTACACAAGTGTCAGGAACGTGAACAGGGAAGAGAACTTGGAACTGTGGAGCAGCCCACAGTCACTGATGTTGTTTAGAGAAAAGTAGAGTGGGGGAAGGAGCAGAAAGGGGAGGTGAGGTGAGGAGTCCAAGGAGCCACTCGCTCAGGTTCAGCAGCTCTCTCAGCCTCTGAAGAGAAAAGAAGGTTCCTCAGGAAGAAAACAAAAGGACTTGGGGCCCCACCCTGCAAATGATACTGCCTCTGAATTGATATCCACGTTTGACTTCATCTAACTACATACGCCAAAACTGTAACTTACTACAACTCCCAGACAACTCTGGGAGTCATTCATCTATGGATAAATAAAGGTGAACCTTAAAAACAGTTTTTCCAGGTTCCCTAAATTCCTTGCCCCTGCAAGCAAAGCCCATTAGAGACCATAAACTAATCCACCAACAGCAGCCCAACTGAACTGCACGATAATTTAGGGACCTTGTCTGAGATGGCAAGGATGGGCCCAGCAAAGTGGAAGCCCTGTCAGTGCTTCCTCCCTGAAGACCAGAATACTATTTGCAATATAAAACAGTATCACAGATACATACCAAATGCAAGGTTTTCAAATTCATGTTCATCCATCAGGCAATGTTAATAAATTTGATGCCCACATGGAGGCTCTACCAGAACAAGCTAGCACTCAGGGAACTGGAGTCCCTGTGGAAGGAGGAAGCGCTAGAGAAGCAAAGAGCGTAAGCAGAGGGATGCTGATGTGGGCATCACTGCCCAGGAGGCCTAAAGTCACATCTAATCCACATGTTCTGGAAGAGCCTGCCTGAGACCCAGCTCTTCAGCAAAATCCCTCCCTGGTTCCCTCCAGCAGAAAATTATCTTTTCTTTCTCTAAGCTGACTTATACCACCCACTATTCACTCAAGCACAAACTGTCTAAATTCAACTGAGACTGAAGCAGGAAGACACTGTTTACAACTGGTGTGTGCCCTATGGCACAGGACATATTCCTTTGTCCTTTCCACAACCTTACAACACATTCAGTCATTAGCAACTAGTTGCTGAATGGCAGTCAGATTGTTAGCAACATTAATTACAATAATTAGCAAAGGAACAAATCAAAATGATGAGATCCTATCTGACATCAAAGTGACACAAGTAATTGTCAACACAACACTGGAAACTGATGGGGGAGATGGGGGCACCTATGTGCAGGGCACCAAAGCACCCATCAAGCTTTTCTTGTCTCCTAATAAAAAAAGGGAAGGTAGGGAGGGAAGGAGAAAGACAGAGAGGAGGAAAAAAAGAAAATATAGTTCTGAGGGAAAAGAAAGAACATTTTATTTTATTTTATTTGTTTATTGTGGCACTGTGAATCAAATTCAGGACTTCACACATGTGAAGCAACTCTACCACTGAGCTAAATCCCCAATCCCAAAGAGGGAAACATTTTCTTCAGATGCCCTCTAAAACTATGTCCACACAGGTGGGCACATTCTGGAACTAGGAAATAAGCTGGAAATAGAGAAGGCTAGACATTATCTTCAAAAGGCAGTCAGGGAGAATGGGGCAATTGTGGAGATCACTTCAGACCTGCACAACAGCAAGCCACCTACTCTTACCCTGCCCACCCGGAACAGTGGACACATAGAGGACTCAGCTAAGCCACTCTCTCAGCCAAATCACCTCAGCCTGCTGTGATATCACCTGAACTTAAAGAGTTTTCTCTGAATCACAGCTGCTATTATGGCCAAACTAAGCAGCAAACCACATCCCATTCTGGCAGATATTTTGCTCTGAGCCTTCTGTAAATCAAAATAAACACCCACACATTTTTAATGTAAGTGCGTTTTAAGATGTATCATGGCTGAGTATGCAGAAATAAGGATAAGTATTCAAAGAACATTTCAGCACCAGTAACTACAGCTTCCAGCCCCCAGGAAAGAAGGGGCAGGACTGTTCCCTGAAGCTCACTCTGGGGGTGGGAGGGGCAGGCAATCATGCGTGCATGTCCTACTTCCAGGAACACATTCAGGTGGCTTGGGTAGGGAACAGCAAGATAGAGAGGTAAGACTCAAAACCCACGTCTTCAGCAGATGCTAAGAGGGGTCTGAAATGACCATTTACTCTCTCATAGTGTGCGTATGTGCACACATGCACACAAAAACTGGAGGCATTTTTACTTACTACAGAGAGAAATAATAGGGAAGTCCTATTGAAACTCCAATCAAGTTCAGTAGTTTTCAAGTCATCTCCATGGCCATCTTTCTAGGGAAGGTCCTGGGGGTGGGCCAGGACTCTGCAGTTTTGTGCAGTGTGTGCCCAACAGAGGCATGGCTAACAATGCCTCCCATGCTTTTCCCAATCAAACCCTTACACACTAGTGTGCGCATATGGCCAAGTAAGAACTAAGAGCGAATGAGTCCATCAGGAAGAAAGGCAGAAGAGGATCTCCTTCCCCTGCACCCCAGGGCCCACAAGACTGGGAGTCAGGCACCAGCAGTACTAAGATGCCCTGCCCCAGGGATGACCACAGCAGGAGCAGAGGGAAGCTTCCACAGGATGTAAACTCTGCTCAGCAAGGTAAGAAGGCACAATGGGAGCCACAGCCTCTCTCCAGCCACCTCTCCTGCCATGGAGTCACAAAAGCTAAAGTACCCTCAATAACTTTCACCTTCCTGGCAGTCTTACCAGATAAGAAGAAAACAGCAAATAAATCTTAGTGCATACCTTTATTCCCCCACCCATGGGGACTTATTTCCTGAAGTTTCCTGCTGTGTATAATACCAAAAAGCCCAGGCACCATCATGTTAACTATCATGCCATTCAGAGCACTACCTTCATCGCCACCTGTAATTACTGCCCAGACGGTAAGGACTGGCACAGGCCTGGCTCTGACAGTGTTTTAAGGAATGCTTGAAGCAGCACCTCTTCGCACCTGCCCCGGTCTCACAGTAGAACCAGCACGGGTGTCGTGCCTCACATTCAGGAACCCAGGGAAGCTGTCGCCAGAGTTCTCACCTCTCATGACACAACAATTCCAGCCCTGACCCCAGCTCAGAATCTGCCTTGAGAGGGCAAAGAACTGCCTCTCTTCATGCATGTTAAAGCCACTCACTCCTAATGAACACAGTACACATTTTCAGAGTCAGAAAGCCCCAGAAGTCACAGCTGCAGAAAGACTAGGAAAGACCATGGGCGGGACCTGCCAGTCCTTGCAAGGGGCAATAAGAAGGAATGGAAGAGCTGAAGCTG